AAAAAAAAAAAAAAAAAAAAAACAGCTGAAAAGTAGCTAAAAAAGCAGAATAAATGTAAATTACCAGAAGGAAATGGAGGGAAAAGATTTTTGCTGAATTAGGCTGAAAAGGTTAAAATAAGTGCAAAAAATGTAGAACTACAGTAGCTGGAAGTTAAAATTTGCATAAAAACAGCTAAATAGTAGCTGAAATAGCAGAAAACGCTGAGACTTGCATAAATAAGCTGAAAGGAGCATAAGAAGCTGAAATAAGCAGAAAGAAGTTAGAAGAAGCACAAAAATGTTGTAGTTAGCAGAAAGGAGAACAAAACAGCTGAAATTAGCTGAAAAAACATTTAAATTTGCACGAAGAAGCTGAAAGAAGCCGAAGCAGAACAAAATGTGAAAGGAGCAGTGAAAGGTTGTAAACAGATCTAAAGATGTGAAGGATGAAAAATGAGCTCAGTTCATTTGATGAGAACAAAACGGCAGAAAAGGCGAAATATTTCAAAAAGCTAAAGTTGCACCAAAACCAAAAGTCACAGCTGGATCGTCCTGAAAGTTCTGCGCAGAGTCCTTCTCTCCTCCTCCTCCCCAAATTGTGTCCCTACTCAGCGGGCTGCGCACTGAAAAACACCCCCTCTCCCTCCCTCTCAGACCCCCCCGAAACAGAAACGATCATTTATTCAACAGAATAAAAACATGCCCTGCAGACAGCACACGTTGTGCACAGCGCCCCCAGACAGCTCTACAGAGCGCACGCACAACTGCTGATGTGTCTGAACTCCTGCTACACTTCAGACACGATGAATAAAAAAGCTGACTGTCATAAATAAATGAATAAAGAGAGAAATGTTTGATGTTATTCACATTATGTCACGTTTCAAAACAACAACGATCAAAATGTCAAAAAGACAATTTACAGTCCAGTTTACTTTAATCAAACATGGATGGGTTGTTCTTAGACAAGCGAGAATTGAAGCCTTCAGGTGCTTCAAAGGAGCAAAACCAGGACTGAATTCAGCAAAGAGTTCAGCTCAGAGCTGGGGGGGGGGGGGGCTGCTCCATTCACACACAACCTGCTGGTCCTCTCCAAAATAATAATTTTATTAAGTGTCTACATCCATCCATCATCTTTTACCCACTTCTTCCATTTTGGGTCACGGGGGTCGCCGGTGTCCATGTCCAGCAATCACTGTGCGAGGGGCGGGGTACACCCTGGACAGGTGTCCAGTCCATCACAGGGACACATGGGGACAAACAACCATTCACTCTCTCACTCACACCTAGGGACAATTTAGAGTTACCAATCAGCCTAACATGCATGTTTTTGGTCTGTGGGAGGAAACTGGAGCACCCGGAGAAAACCCACGCATGCACGGAGAGAACATGCAAACTCCACCCAGAAGGCCCCTGGACCGGGATTTGAACCAGGGACCTGCTCGCTGAGAGGCAGCAGCTCTACCAGCTGCACCACCGTGCTGCCTAAGTGTCAGTAACTATAGATGTTTGACAACCTGTTAAAATACACCACATTAAATGGCATCTCTCTTATTCAAAATGTTCTGTGGGAGGACCCACGGACCCCCTCCCCCCCACACACACGCACCACCCCCCAGGCCTGCCCGCTGTTCCGGCATCCATCAGTTTACAAATGAAGCCCTGTCTCAACCACATTACAGCAAATTATTGTTAAAGCCCAGTTAAACCAGCAGAGCGACAGGAACACATTAATAAATGTACATACAAATTACAAATGCAGTGGATAATAAGTAAATGGCCAACACACAGAAACATGATCGCCCGCCTGGAGCCTCCAGATGCAGGAAGCACGTGCACGCGCCTCCAGCCTCAGCCTCCTGACTCCACCTTAAGACGTGGCAGGATGGTGGTCCGGCTTTTTCTTTTGGGGGAGGGTTAGTTGCCAGAACCAGCTTGCTCCTGAATACAAAGCCTGCCCGGACCCCCCCGCCA